GGAATGCCCAGTGTTGGACTCATCTCCTTACACATCCTCAAGATGCAGGCTCTGGGTGGCCAGTGATGGCCTCTATGGCCTGCACAGGTATGGCACAGCCCCAGCTTGACTGGGTGATTCTAGAGACCAGCTCTGAGGAGGCCCAGGACTGGACCATGAAGGGGACTGGGTGACAGCTTTAGGCTGCTGTTTTGGCTGGGATAAGAGCACAGCCCCTTTGTGTGCAAGGTGGTCACCAACCCCACCCACAGAATCACACAATGGTGGGGGTTGGAAGGGACCTCTGGAGATCATCCAGTCCAACCCCTGCCAGAGCAGGATACCCCAGACTAGATCCCACAGGGACACATCCAGGTGGGGTTGGGATGTCCCCAGGGATGGAGACTCCACAGCCTCCCTGGGCAGCCTGTCCCAGGGCTCTGTCACCCTCACAGGCAAGAACTATTTTCTCCCATTCAGGTCAAACCTCCTGTGCTCCAGTTTGTGCCCATTGCCTCCTGTCCTGTCACTGGGCACCCCTGAGCAGAGTCTGGCCCCACCTCCTGACCCCCCTGGAGATATTTACAAGCTCTGATCAGATCCCCCCTCAGCCTCCTTTTCTCCCAGCTGAGCAGCCCCAGCTCTCCCAGCCTTTCCTCACAGCCAGATGCTCCAGTCCCCTCAGCATCCCAGTGCCCTGTGCTGGGCTCTTCCCAGTATCTTCTTGTCGTTCATGAACTGGGGAGCCCAGAACTGGTCCCAGTTCTCCAGATGTGGCCTCCCCAGGGCAGAGGAGAGGAGCAGGAAAACCTCCCTGACCTGCTGCCCTTAACACCCCCCAGGATGTCACTGGCTGTGAGGCCACATTCCTGCCTCACTTAATTCACAGGTGGAAGGGGGTCACCAACCCTGCCCTCCCCCCCAAAAATAAAAGCCCTTTCCCAGCACCTTGGTGACCTCTCCCACCACGAAGCCCTCAGAGGCAGTGATGTCAGGGAGCCCTTGGGAGCTGAGCCCACGGCGGGTCAGGCGGACGTACAGGGTGGGC